GCTAGCCACATGTGACTATTTAAATTGATAAAAAATTAAATAAAATGAAAACTTCAGTTCCTCAGTCCCACTAACCACATTTCAAGTGCCCAATGGCTCATGTATTCAAGTCATCCACAAATATCATCTCTTCTGCAAAAACTTCTCAACTCAAAATATATAAAATGAGGAGCCCTCTGTACTCCCAAAGGCTTTGCTCCATGTTTCTAGACTGTTTCTTGTCTCATCATACTGTAAACTGTTTATAAGGGTGCCCTGGCCACTAACCTGATACCCTCAAGAATAGTTATTGGCTAGCCAAACAACAGGCAGGCCTACAAGGTGAACAATTCTACCAGGTAGGTATACTCCTTAGAACAATCAACCATGGGAGATCAGAAGGGCAGTATTGCACAAGGAGATAGCTCAGAGGGCAGGAACACATAGGAAAGACAGATACAGGGAAAAGGTAACCACAGGGAGGAAGTGGGAAGAGAACTATTACATTGTGGGGATTGCAATAAACATCATGAAACAAAATGTGTATAAAGTGTTCAACGGAAAATGAATTTGCTCTGTAAACTTTGACCCAAATCACAATTAAAAAAAAAAAAAGGAAAAGAATATTGAGTCATCTTTGCAAGCTGAGCTTTTCATGGTACCTGACACATAGTATTGTTGTTGTTGTTGTTGTTATTTGCCGTCGAGTTGGACCCGACTCTTAGCGACCCCTCCTTGGGTTTCCGAGGCAGTATCAGTACGGAAGTAGGATTGCCCAACCTTCCTATACACTCATTTATTCCTTTCCTTTCCTTAAGCATTACTCTTATTGGCAGGTTAAGCAGGAAGAAACCCTAAGATGCCCATTTCATCTACTTGACATAAAAGCAAAATGGGACATTCAATCTCATTCTCTGCTTTCCAAGAACTGACCCAGGTGGCTCCATGAAAGCAGTCTCTTCCTTCCTCTGCTCCCCCTCCCTTCTATGACCAGACTCAGTCCTTGCCTCGTAGAACCACAGGGAAATAGTCTGGCAAGAGCCACTGTTGTACCAGCTGATTTAAATTGAAATGTTTTCCCCAGATAAATGCGTGCTAAATAATACACCAGCTCTCCAGCCAAAGGGAAGTGACAGGCGCTCTGTAAATAAAGGCACTTAGTTGCTGGTAAAGAGCTGTAAAGTGGTTCTGAGCTGATGTTTGCTGACCAGCAAGAAACAGCTTCACCTGCTTTATATAATTGTCACTGCAGTCTTGCCTGCTGTATATTAAAACTGCATCTCATAGACCCAACTGTCACATTGGATATACCATCCAGCTTGGGGTATGCCACCTTTCACTGTAATTGTTTTTGACAACCAGCCATCACATCTCAGATCTTTTCAGAAAGTGTCTGGTCCAGAATCCCTAGGCTGGGTCAGTTCTGACACCATGTGGGCTGAAAAAGTGACACCAAAAGGCAATGTGAAAAAGGAGGACAGGAGGAAAAAGAGCCTTTGTTAGTCTAAGAGACCTAATAACATCAAAGTGGCTAGTGCCTAAACACAAGTCTCATGAAGACTCTACCTTCTCAATGACAAGGCACATTTTTTCACATTGAACTGTATTCTCTTAGAAAAACTCCATAAGGATGCATGGATATTCTGAACTGAGAGTACATACGTTTGTCCAAATAATAAAGCTCTCCAGAGAGTGCTGAGGTTGAGGTTTCATGAAGGACTATAGAAAGCTGGTGAGGCAGTGTTAAGATATTTAGTAGTTATCACTCTGGGGTAGCTAGATCTGTTTCCAAAAACGAAAACCAAATCCATTGCCACCAAGTCAATTCCAACTCATGGTGACCCCACATGTTACAGAGTAGAACTGCTCCAACTTTACAAAAGTAAATCACCAGCTTTTCTTCCATGGAGTTGTTGGGTGGGTTTGAACCACCAAGCTTTAGCTTAGCAGTTGAGCACAAATGATTTGCACCACGGATGATCTCAAAATGGAAAGAGTATCATGAAATCCATTTTGTGCTCCTGTAATTCCAATCCTCCTTCAAGCTTAAACCAAAAATAAAACTCACTGCCATCAAGTTGAAGCCAACTCATAGTGACCTCCATTGGGTTTCCAAGGCTGTAAATCTTAACAGATTGCCTCATCTCCTTCTCATGGAGCAGCTGGTATGTTTGAACTGCTGAACTTCTAGTTAGCAGCCAAATGTCTTACCCACTATGCCACTAGAGCTCCTGGCCTCAAGCTTAGTTCATGCTAAATACCTGGATGAAGGGTAACAAAAGTTTTTGAGGCCAAAGAGAATTTCAGTTGGTCAAGAGTCTCAGAGAGGGAGGGTGACAGAATATTTAGCCCTTTCACCTGGCCCCACAGGCTAAGAGGCATCCAAGGAGTTGGGTTAGGTTGAGTAGCCAGTGAGGAGCACATAATACTTGCCCACTGAGGAGGAAGCAACTTCTGCATGTTGATGACCACTGCTAGGCCACTGTCTATGGAAGACCAGAACTTCATCAAAGAGTGTTTGAAACCAAGAACAAGAGAGGAGATGATGGGGTAGGAAACCAAGAAGATATGTTGTCCTAAGGGTTCAACATCCTTTCATGGCAAGGAGAAGCAGAGTGTATGCTGGCTGTTTGGAGGAATGAGTTCAACTCCACTGTTGACCTGGAGTCTAGAAAATTGCTACTGGGTAATGGAAAGAAACACATCTCTGCTTTGCAACAGTGTGTGTGTGTGCACGCATGTACATGTGTATATACAAAAGAAAGCGCACCCTCCTTTTTTTCTTTGGAGGAAGCTCCCTTTCCCTTTCCTGTATACCTCCCACCCAAACTTACTTTTCTTACTTATTCCTGTCCTACAAATGGTAGAGAAGGCTTTGGAGTATTGGATGAGTATCTAGGGAGGGAAGGGGAAGAATTTTTAGCAATCTGGCCATTACATAGAATCTGAAAGCCTTGAATAAAGTTTAGGACAATTGGCAGGAATTCTTGTAACACTGGAAGAGCTGGAGGAGCAAAAGTCCAAGAAGCCACAACAGACTATCTCACCTGTAACCCTGAATGGAGAGTTCTCCTGAGCTTGCTCAGAAGCTGCTGGGAATCTCACACCCTCTAGAAAACCACCACCCACTCTCTCAGACCTCAGCAGTGAAGCAAGTGCTTCTCAGAAAGCTCTCCTGACAGCTGCTTCAGATGTCATGTCTGCTCAGGGTCTAGCTGCAGCTGCCTCAATGGAACCAAGGCTTCTACTGCACTTGCACTTAAAAATCTCACCCAATGCCTCTTGTACTGGCAGACTCTAACCCAGAGCCACACAGGGAAGAGGACTGTAGGAACAACAGTTCCTGGCTCTGCTGCAATGCCAAGAAGACCTTAGAAGGGGGAGGTGAAGAGGCTGAGTAGGCAACAGATAATGCACAGGTCTAGGCTACATGATAATGCGGGGCTTCCAGAGAAGCCCAGTGGGTGAGACCCTTCGTCAGCTGTCAATAGAGCAATGCTTCATATTCCATTGGGGTCCTTGGGTGATGTAAATCGTTAATGCACTTGGCTGCTCCGTGAAACACTCAAGTAGATCCACTGGTACCTCAGAAGAAAGGCCTGTTGATCTACTTCCAAAAAGTCAGCCATTAGAAACCCACAGAGCACAATTCCACTCTGACACACATGGAACCCTCTTGAGTCAGAACTGACTAAACAACTAGTTTTTTTTGTTTGTTGTTGTTTTGGTTTTTATATCCCATTAGCTAGAGTTCCCATGGAGTAGACTGGAAACTATGCCATCAATATTTCAAATACAAGTAGTGTCACCCATTGTGGACCGGTTTTCACAGGAACTTCTAGACTAAAACAGACTAGGCGGCAAGTCCTGGCAATCTACTTCCAAAAATAAGTCAACAAAAACCTGATGGATCACAACAGAGCACTGTCCAACTTGCTTGCTTTGCACATATCATGAGGAAGTATCAATTACTGGAGACCACCACCATGCTTGGTGCAGAAAGCCAGCAAGGATGAGGGAGACCATCGATGAGATGACGGGCACAACAGCTGCAATGCTATGCTGGTGATCGTGAACATGATGCAGAACCAGACAGCATTTCATTCTGTTGTACGTATGGTCACCATGGGTCGAAGTTGATGGCAGCTAGTTATGCTCCCTCAACCTTGGATCCTGGAATGATGGGATCCAAGAACTCATTTTCCCCAATGCCATCCACCCAGTAGACCACATACGGCAATGTTCTTAGAGTTGATCGCAAGCCTGTACAGAGATGTTACTCAGAGGAAAATGCATTGCATCCTATTGTGTCAAATCCCTGATTCCTGTAGCTGTTTGTTATGAAGTTTTTGCTGTGCTCCCATTCTAGACTCCTAGACAGCATCTTTGCTGGTAACCACCACCTGTCCAGGATCCCAGAGCAAATGACAGGAAAGATTGAGGACAGAACAGAGAAGACATGTGTGCACCATTTATCACTCTTGTGCCTCCTTAGGAGAATGCATGAGTCAACAGATGTCACCTCTTGCTAAATGACTTTCTGAGCTTGTAGAGTCTCCATCCTTCAGTTATCACCATCCGTTGGTCAACACCATCTCAGACACAGCTATAATAATGACAAACCTTAATACCTCCATCCTAGGTCAATGGCCAAAATATATATTGGGAAGAAACACTGGAATTGTTCAGCCAGCATCTTTTTAATGCTGTAACATTTAGCCAGTGACCATGGTCATAAAGTCACTGTTTGGGAAGGCAGAAAGGGTGGCAATTTAAAGGCTTGTTTATTTTCTGGGAAGGCAGTGTGTTCCAGTGGGTGGGCATTCAGGTCTCAAGCCTGCTTCCCGGGAATGGTGAGAAGAGGGAGCAGAGGCTCCTTTGAAAACCATCCCAGCGCCCGGCAGGTTTCACTGCCAGGCAGGCTGATGTGAGCCTCTTTGAATTACCAAGTGAAGGATATCCCTCTTGCCAGCCCCTGTCCCCCGCAGGCACAGCAGAGAAGTATTACAGGCTGTCCTTACCTTGGGAATTAGCCTGCAAGACCCCGATGCTGTCATCAAACTGCATAGATTTGATGTTGAGTGACGCCAAGATGCATTCCTTGTCCTGCAGCGAAGTATCATCAATATTATTCTGATTGGCTGACAGGATAACGCACATGTCACAGAGGTTGATGTTGACGGCCCTTAAATCAGCGCGACTTAATGGTGTACCCTTTGGCATAGAGAGAAGAGAAAAAAAGAAGAAGCAGCAGCAAAAGTGAGATCGAGAGAAGAGGAGGAAAAAGGAAAAAAATAAAAACAAATTAAAGACTGAGCCGGAGCTTTGGGAAATTATTTAACAAGTATCTTTTTTATGCCTTGACATTAAGCTGGCCTAACAGCATTCAAGGGAATAGGAGCTGTGTGCTAATCTAAAGGGTAGTTGGTGCTGATGGCAGCATTTCAGGCCCGCTCTCAATACTCAATCAAGCTATTACTAACAAACGAGGGAAAGGAATAATGCCAGGGTTCTACATCTTCTTCCTGCCTGGAAATTGTCTTGATTTAAGTAACTGTCCTGTGGCAACCTCTGGCTTTCAGACTGTAACGAGGGGGTGGGTTTCAAATGCCTGTTTATTTAATGGCAGGTCACTTCTGTCTCAGGCAAAAGACAATAGTTCCGACTAGAATTTTCAATGCAGCCAAGGGGAAATAGCCAGTGAGCATGGTGTGATGAGGTAGGGCAGAAAGCGTTGGACAATTTAGAGGACGGGGGGGCGGTTCAAGGAGTTGGAATTAATAAGTATCTTGCAAAAGGGAGTTGGAAAGGAGTTATACTTCAGGTCATGTCGTTTCGTTACATATTTTTAATAAGAAATTGAAGAAAAAAAAAAAAGAAATTGCCTAATAATCCAACAACAGAGGAATGGTTAAATACACTATCAAGCATCTATGTGATGGTATAGAAGGCATGCAGTGGGTAAAGACACAGAGAAAGCTCTCCAAAAAGGCATCAACTTGAAAATAAAAAGTGGAAAAAAGAAGTTCTGGAACAATTCATATAGCATGATTTCATTTATGAAAAACAAAACAAAACAAAACTATGTATTTACAAATACATTTATAAATGTATGTAAATTCATAGAGAAAGCTTGGGAAAAATACACATTCAACTAATAATGGTAATTACCTCTGGGGAGGGAAGTAGAATTGGGAGGTAAAGGGGGAATTTTGTTTTTGACTTTATTTACTTTTGTCTTGTTTGAATATTTTATAACAAGAAAATATTTGTATATTACTTGTGTAATTAAAAATAAATAAGCCAGTAAACATATTTTTTTAAAATGTCATAACAAAAACATCAGTGGAAAAAACCTAGGCCAAGGATGTAATGACAGAGAGCCAGGGAATGTCACCATAGGTAAAACAGAAGGGTCAGTGTTGGAGAAGAAGGGCATGACCTCCATGTGATCTGTGTCCTCTGGAGGGGCCACAGAATAACTTCTCAGGCCATCTAACATCAGAGCTTGCCAGGTGCCATGTGGTGGCATCATTCTGGGGTTCACGTCCAGTCACCAACCTCCTTGGCCCTGCAGCCTGAACTTAACTCTTGCTCTGCCTAAGGACCCAAGTTATCTTCTACTGCCTGACCATATGGACTTGGTTTACCAACTGCCATATATTTCTGGATGCCTTCCTCTCATTTCCCTTCCTGGAGAATTAGCTTTGGGAAGATGGAACTTGGCTGCAGAGCTCAAGGCCACCAACTCTCTTTTATGACTCAGTAGCAATCTTAATGCTATCCTCAGGACCAAAATATTGGTGGAAAGTGGAATTATGGAGGAAGGGGCATTTAGTGTCATGGGTGCTGGAAAGCTTCTAGTTCTAGCCCCTGGACCACTGTCTTTCAAGGGAAGAGGAAGAATGGATTCTTGTCCTGTGATCTTTTGAAAATCAATCTGAACAACTTCCTGAATCATTCTGCTAGTGCATAAGCCTCAATTGCCTACATCCATATTCTTTTAATTTTCACCTTGTAAAAAACCCAGCAGTAATTGTGATATAAGACAATCCCTGTGCAGTTGTATATGCATGATTTCAAAACACAAGAAATACAAATGGCATACATAGAAACACCTGATGTTTCTCTGGACTGGCCCTACATGTGGGGTGCTGTTTAAACAATGAAATATGTGAAGACATAGGTGAAAGCCCATTTTGTACAAATATGATGTACTTGAGTTTGCTACATTTGGAGTGTTTGAAAAGCACCTGGAAATATGAGAGCTCATTCATACATATACACAGGCGAAGAAGTAGATGTGGACAAAAGCATGCAGAAGGAAATACGTACACACACCCGAACACCATGCACACACCCAACACAAGCACATACACATCACACCCCATCACAACACACACCCAACACACATACAGACCGACCACCTATACTCACAAACATAACACACTCATACACACAGACTCACGTATCCAGCAAATAATTGCACATGCTCTTTGCAAAGATACTTTTAGAACCCAGTTCAATATGTGTTCCCAGGCATCCATGGGAAGAGCACATGTAGAAAGATAATCATGAAAATATGTATTAAATCTACCTTTCTGAAATCAGCAGGGTACATATCTGTTCATGCTCTTCTGTATGAAAGATTGTTTGTTTGTTTGTTGGTGATTATGTTTAACTACATGTGTTCACTAAATCAGAGAGTTTGGGGCCCTACAACCAAAAGATATTTGTCTGAAATTTTTTTCATTTCTTTAAGTATCTACTAAGGATCTATGATACCAGGCAAATAGTAAGGGCAAATAGTGGCAAGGAATGGGTATTACTCATATAAAGACTCTTAGGTGCTGTTCAGTGAATTATACTACTTAACTCATTTTATTCACATTTCTTGGTTTCTAGAAGCTGAATGAAATAAAGAATGGATTCTGGTTCCCTAAGGTGGGAGGAAAACCTCTTAAATGTACATCAAACCCATGTGGCTCAGTTTTAGGGATGTGAATTTCACAATACATACATACATACATATATCCATATATATTTGGAGAGGATAAGATGATATTTAGATATGTGGATGGATTTGTGACATGGAAAAATAAATGCTTCCATGCATAATATTCTATCATTTTTGAAAGTTCAGAAAAATACACTGATGATCAAAGGTAGGTAGTTACATGATTCCTAGCTCATGAATCCCATATCCTCACACCAAATTATGGAGCCACAAACTGCTTCTTTCAGATTTAGATCAAAATATTTTGTTACCAAGAGCACCACATGCATGTGTGTGCGTATGTATACATGCTCACACAAAGCCATGAAAACAGTGCTGGGCTTTGAAATGAATAGGGGGTCAAAGAGTTTGCCATATATGCAGTAGATGTAAATACAAAGCTGTATTATTTATATTTAGTTACAAATAGAAGGTGATATAGATCAAGACTCCCCCAAGCATTAATAATGCCATAAGTAAAATGCTAGAAAGAATTTCATAAGTAAATTCTGTAATTACTTATCACAATACCACAAGGTATTAGGGTTTTGTAAGCAAGGGAAGGAGTGGTTAGATACTGACTGATATGGTTAATACATCTGATAATCAGCTAAACTTCATCCCAGATACGTGATTGAACTGGGCTGCAAATTCCTTCTAATAAGGTCTCCTAGGGTTTGGATTTTCCTACATGGAGCAGAAGGAAAGGGCTCAGTCCTCAGGCCCAAAAGCACATGAAGAAGCAGAGGCATGATCAAAGCTATAATTATTATATTCATCTGAGATTTTCTTTTGTGAATGAAAAAAAAGAAGAAGAAGAAAACATCACTAATATGATGCTTGGACTTACAGGCAATATGGAAACTTTGGGGAAGTTGTGAAGCGTCTCCCATTCTCTCTTGAGGTACTCAATGGAGCCTACGAACACGATGTGCTTGAGCTCATGGTAATGAAAATTGCTGGCACGGAGCGGCATCACCAGGTTCCGGAGCCCAATCAGAGCTGAGCTGACATCACCAAAGATGCAGACCACAACATGGCCACTCAGGACAGTCATGGCAGCTTCACTTCGGGTCTGCAACAAGGACAAGTGCATGCATATTGGCAAGAAGACTTCATAGAGTGGTTACAAGCAAGAAAGAAATAATTTCTGCAAAGCATCAAAACATTTGCTGATTATTCACTACGTGCTATTTTTATTTTATCAAAATTATAAACATAACATTTATGTCTATATTTTTGAGTATGTATATGTATGTGTGTGTATGTATATATATATGTGTGTGTGTGTGTGTATTGGAATGTAGCCCAGCTTATTTGTTTAGGTATTGTCTTTGGCTGCTTTCACGGTGCAATGGTAGAGTTGAGTAGTTGCAACAGAGACAGTATGGACAGTAAAGTCTAAAATACTTATTATATATATATATGGAGATATATATATATATATGTATGGAGCTCTGGGGGCATAGTGCCTAAGGCATTGGACTACTAACCAGAAGGCTGGCAGTTCAAACCCACCAGCCACTCCTCGGAAGGAAGGTAGGGCAATCTACTTCATGAGACCACCTTGGAAACCCAAGGAGGGGTCGCTATGAGTTGGATCTGACTCCATGGCAGTGAGTTTGGTTTGGTTTGTATATATATTATATTTATGAAATAAATATATTAAACATATATTCGCACATATCTCTCCCTGGTAGCACAATGATTGAGTGCTTGGCTTCTAACTGAAAGGTTGGGAGTTTGAATCCATCCAGCCGCTACATGGGAGAAAAGACCTGGTGATCTGCTCCTGTGAAGATTACAGCCTAGAAGACCCTATGAACAAGTTCTATTCTGTCACTTGGGACCCCACTATGAGTCAAAAATCAGCTCAACAACACCTAACAACAACAGGAGGGATTAGCAATAGGAATAGAAAAATACTTCCTATCTTAGAGGTTTTGAAAAGCACCTGCAAATATGAGAGTCCTTGCTCTGCCTGCATGGAGACCTGCATTGCCTTCTACTCACTGACTATAGGGAGTGAGTTTGCCAACTGCCACGACGTCATCTTAGTTTCTATGAAATTGTGGATGAAAATTTTTGACCTCTCTTGCTGAGGTGATAGCAAAATAGTCAGATCCCCATATTAGTCTCAGCTTGAGAAATTGTGTGTTCAGTACTAGACTCATCACTGAGATGTTCCAGTACTCTTCTCTGCTTTCTGACCTAGAAGGAACATGCCCGCCCACCCATCCATCCATCCATCCATCCATCCCCCAGTGGGTAGAGAATAATGTCCTAAGCCAGAAGTTGGCAGCTATGGCCCATGGGCCAAATCTGTTGCACCACTTGTTTTTGTATGGCCAATGAGCTATGAATAGTTTTTACATTTTAAAATGGTTGAAAAAAATCAAAAGAAGACTATTTCATAACATGTAAAAATTATATGAAATTCCAGTTCCAATAAAGGTGTATTGGAATGTAGCCCAGCTTATTTGTTTAGGTATTGTCTATGGCTGCTTTCACAGTGCAATGGTAGAGTTGAGTAGTTGCAACAGAGACAGTATGGACAGCAAAGTCTAAAATATTTATTATCTGACTCTTTACAGAGTAAGTTTGTTAATCCCTGCACTAAACCAAGGCTGCCTTGGGATTTCAAAGGGCTTGCTTAGAGGGGCATAGTTTGGTACGTTACTCAAAGGCAGCCCCTCACATAATCATTAAAATGGCTGACCAATGCACCTCATGTGCAGCCACCATTTGTCTGTTAGTGGAGGTTTGTGTGTTGCTATGATACTGAACAACTTTCAGCAGAGCTTCCAGACTAAGACAGACTAGGAAGAGAGGCCTGGTGATCTACTTCTGAAAATTAGCCAATGAAAGCCCTATGGATTACTACAGTCATTAGGATGGCACAGGACCAGGCAGCATTTCATTCCATTGTACACAGGGTTGCTGTGAGTCGGGGGCCAACTCAACAACAGCTATCAAAAATAACAACAGTGGTAAATCATCAAGGACAACAAACTCATACCATCCCCCTACCCTAGGCCTGTATCTACAAGAAACAGATAAGAGAATAAAATTATACCAGGTAGAGACAGACTCCAGCTTCCAAGGAAATGAAATGGTTAGCTGCTGGTCCTATTGTTCACTGTGTTAGTGAGGAGCACAACAATACAAGAGGACCAGGCTGGGCCTTTCTCTGCCTCTCCTCTGGTCTGATGCCTTCTCTCTTCCCTTCCTTCCTCTGTCCACTCACTGCATGCCTGGATGGCCCTATGGGGCTTACAATGCTTTTGGGGAGGCATATTAATGTCCAGTGCACATATCAAACTCTGCTTGATTTAATCCCTGGAATTGACTGCTGTATTGATTGTTTAAATGCCAATATTGCAATTCATGACAATGTCAGGGTTATTACAGTAACCCCTAAGGAGAAGAGGAAGCTAGCTTTCACTCCTGATCATTAGACTAAAGCAGAGCTGTCACCATTATTGGTTTCCCTCTGCAACAGTGCGGAGCAACCTGAGAAACAGGCTGAAAGAAATGCCCTATAAATGGTGACCAAGTGAGGATCCACTGGGGAGCTCATATCACATATCACAGCTTCATGGAGAAGAACCAAAGTTAGTTATCTTGGCTGCTTGGAAGTGTGCGTGCCTGGGTACCACCAGCAGAGGGTCATCTAGTCTGCAACATGCTATGATGGGTCTCCTAATTATTTTTAACTGGGCAAGTCATTCGGGAAGCTAGCTTCCATCAACAAGCCAGAAGAATATAAACTGAGTCCATAATAAGGGCTGGAAACCTAGAATGGGGAAGCAGGGAAAGGACCAGATAGCAGGGTGATTGAGGCACAGATGCTGATCATCAAAACATCATTCCCAAAACCAGCCACAGCAACATCATCTGGAGAACTTCGCAAAGATGCCAATTCTTGGGCCTCAGCCCTGGAAAGTCTGATTCTGCCAAGCTGACGACTCACTGGAGAATCTATAGTGTCCCCGGGGGGTACAAACAGTTAATGTGTTCAACTGCTAATTGACAGATTGAAGGTTTGAGTCCACCCAGAGGTACCTTGGAAGAAAGGTCTGGTGACCTAGTTCCAAGAAAATCAGTCACTGAAAATCCTACGGGGACCAGTTATATACTCTGATACACATGGTGTTACTGTGAGTTGGAGTCAACTAGACAGCAACACGGTTTTTAGAGAAACTACTTACTCATGTATCTTGTGTGTACTATGCATCTTTCAAGGTCCAACCTAAGCTAGTCTGTAATAGCCTTAAATACTTTCCAAGTACAAACTGATAACACTTTCCAAGCACAAACTGTTGATATCTGATAGGATTTCCCTGGCCAAACACATCTTTGTTCTTATCCTCTGTATTTGAATGGCACTTGGTACCTTGTATCACTTAATTTTTAAAACATTGTTTCATGGTTACATTTTGTATCTTCTGTCTAATTAAACTGTCATTTCCTCAAGATTGGGGCCATCCAACCATTTTCTAACCCCCCAAGCTATTAATATCCTGTACCCGGTGGGTACACCCAACTCCAAAGCATCTTCATGTGGCTTGGTCCTTCCTATCATTCTCTCCTCTGCCCAAATGTTACATTAGAGAGGGCTTCTTGGATCACAAGACACCTCTAGCTCTTTGTAGCCCCATTACCCTGCTTTACTTCCTTCATAGCATTTATCAATATCTGAAATGTTATTATCTATTCATTTGTCTACCTGGCAGTCTGCTCTCTGCCCCCACTAGAATACAAGCTCCATGAGTGGTTGTTTTATCCCTAGCAACTAGAATAGTGCCTAGCACATAGTAGGCTCATATAAATGTTTACTGAATGATGGTTTTTTTTTTTTTTTTTTTCAGATGTGAGAAGCAGTAACTCATTTCTCTAAGCTCCACAGTGGTAAGGGATGGTGATTGGGTAGCAGTGAACACACATTCCTCAAGAATATCTAGATAAGCCATTAAAACTCCAGGTCCCAGATATTCCCCGCAGCCTACAACCTGCTACAGGTGGGTGACATCAGGCTGAGTTAACATCACCAGAGCAAAAGTGTGTTGGATCAGTGTCAGGATATAGATGCATAAAGTGGCATCTAAGTTGGATAATGGCTGTTTCAGGAGAACCTGGACTTTCTGTGCTTTGCCTACAACTTTCACACCTCTTAGAAAGCATTCAGCACATGACTGTAGTGGTCCTTATAACTGAATTGGGAGAACACACACATATTTGGATAAAATACAGGGAAATATCTAGAGAATGAGAGTAAAAAGCCATTTGGAGGACCTTCTTTAGGAAGGATAGCCACGGTATCAGAAGTGATAGGATTATTTTGATTAACAGGAGGAACAGGCCACAGCAGTCTAAGGATTAGAGGCATAAGGAAGAAAGAGCCTTTCTATCTGATCTTCCTGATCATTAATCCATTTTTCATGGATTAGCAAGAACGCCAATGTAGGCATTAAAACCTAAAGACTTTAATAGGGCAAGATTACAGAGTAGAATTGGATTGTTATGCTGTCATTCCACAGACAGACTGGAAGAAGCCCACTGCCTCTACTGAGGTGTTCATGAGCCAACCAAGAAATGGGGCTCTGAACTGCTGGCCTCTCCAGGAGGACCCATACTTTGTCACTGTCATCGTCATCATTAGCAAATGTATTTTGCTAAATATGCTAAGATAGGTGCTAAGAAGGGTCACACATATGTAATGCTTGCCATCTGCTTTTATGTTTTAACTATAAGAGTGTAAGACATTGTCATGACCACATAACAATATGCAATAGCATTCAGATTTCTTCAGAGCATTCAATAACAATAATAGGCAACTTTGTTGAATCATATGTCAGGTTCTGTTCTGAGTCCTTTATAAATGTTATCCCTTTTAATCCTCACTACCACCCTGTGAGGAGCTCTGGTAGCATCGTGCCTAATTAACTGCTAACCAGAAGGCTGGCGGTTCATACTCACCAGCCACTCCTCGGAAGGGAGGTTGGGCAATCCTACTTCTGTAGTGATACTGCCTCGGAAACCCAAGGAGGGGTCGCTATGAGTTGGGGCTGAATCAACAGCACATAACAACCACCACCACCACCACCACCACCACCCTGTGAGTTTGGGACTATTCTCATCTCATCTTCGTACAGATAAGAAAACCAAAGTTCAGAGATGTCCACCGACTTGCTCACAGCCAGGATGCTCCTAAGTGGTACACTAAGATTGGGTGAATGGATCCACAGGAATCCCCAGAGCTGTATCCACAGGAATCGTGGCAAATACCACCTCCCACGATGCCTTTCACTGCCTTCCACATACTGTTTACTACTACTGTAATGAGTGGATAAATATGCAGAAATTCTACTCTTGGCTCATATCCTGATCAGAGTTCTAGCTTCTCCAATATATGTTTTAACTTCAATGATCAAAAACAGCTAGGACCAGTGACTTTATCATCCTATCATTCAGGTGGGAAAATCTCATTCCTAGCAAATGGAGGTTGGGATAGACATGGAAGGCACCACCTCAGCGGCCTGTCACTCACCAGAATGACTTTCTCTATCTCCTTGGGTGCACACCAGTGAAACATCCCGGTAGAGTCATATTTCTTCACATTGGAGTCCATGTTGTCAATCTGATCATTGCCAGGAATTAACAAAGGGTCATGCCTGGGGAGAAAAGGACAGGAAAACCTAAGTGCAAAATGTGATAAATTATAAATGGAAAGTGTCCCCGGAGTTACATCTCAGAGGAGATGAAAGATGGAGGTGAAGTGACTGTCACTGGAGGCCATTCCTTTGGTTGCAGAACCCATCCTTTGAAAGACAACTGCCCCAAACCACCCACTGAGGAGTGCAGCTGACCTTCATCAGGTGATAATCCTGCCTTTCTCCTGCTCCTCTTTTCCTAAAATGGCCTTCACATTATTTTGTGGATTCAGCCATCTTCTTTATGGATATCTCACTCCTCCCACTTTCATTTTACCAGCTATCCAGTCTCCCCAGTGTACGTGCACGCACACACAGACACACATACAACCCAAAGGGTTGCTATTAGCATTGGCAATGAAGAGGAAGAAATAGGAATAGAGCCTCATGCTGGCTGACTGGCATGAGGATGGAAAGCCAATTACTCGCTCTTTCTGACTACAACTTCTGACGTGATGCTCTTCGCAGTAAAAGCTTTAACAGGCTGCACTTTAAATATTTTAGCAATTTGCCCAATCAGATTTTGCTCTCCCAGGCTGAAGCCCTTTAAAATTCAGCAGCATGTCACTTCAGAGCAGATTGACTACCAAATGCCCACATCTGGAATACATGATTTCAATATTAAACAACAATCCTCTCTCCTTGCCTTGACAACTGTATTTGCACTCATCGTCCAATGACTGTCTCCCCCACCCCCTCCACATTCACCTCCCAACTGCAGCACTTCTTGGATAAGAGCTGCAAGCTCAGAATCGGTTTAATAGACCTGAAGTCTCAGGGCTATATTCACCCACTGTTGCCTTATTTATTGATGAAAAAGGAAGATGCTACTACAGAAGGTCTGAGATCTCCCCTCTGGTAGGTTTTGGTAGGGTGACCTCCAGAATTACAATAGAATCAGGCAGGTCACACAAGCTTAGTTCATGTTCACTGTCTGGGATACTATCTCTGTTAGTGATTCTGTGCCTTACTTTTGGGGGAGGCCATTACTGGTTTCCACAATATTGACTGCATATAATTAGGACAATGTCCCAGGATATCAGTTATCCTTGCAACTGAGTTAGCTTCCCTAATTAGTGCTGTTAAATAATCCAAGATTGAAAATATCAACAGGTTTAAATTCTTAAAAATATATATATTTTAAAATGTTTGTATCATTTAAATGATCTATTTCAGGCATCAAAGATAGCCTATTCTTAGTTTTTAGTATTTCTCACTGTGACATTTCTGTATTCTGGCAACTGACATTTATATATTCCAGAATATAGAGAATGGGACAACAATCTCTCTTATTAGGTGTATAGACCAAGAATTGAGCTTCTGACTTATTTACCGTGACCCTCCCAATATGCCCCATCCTCATCTAAGATGGGAAAATTCTTTCACTGCATTTATTTATTTCTGAGAATTTACTTTGTGGCTATACCAAGAGACAAATATCATGTGAAGTAATTCTGAAAAATTATCTCCAACGAACGTGCTAGAATACTATAAACCAAAACCAAACCCACTGTGACTGAGTCGATTCAGACTAATAGTGACTCTATAGGAAAGAGCATATCTGCTCCATAGGGTTTCCAAGGCTGTAAATCTTTATGGAAGGAGTCTGCCTCATTTTTCTCCTATGGAGTGGCGGGTGGGTTTCAACTTAATCTTTTGGTTAGCAGCCAAATCTTTTAACAACTGCACCAACTGTTACAATTGGTCTTCAACAAAGAATAATCCAACTCATTGTAGTCTCTCAATGGCTGGGTTGTTGAGAGGTCTTGAGGTGTTATAAGACCTAAACCACCTTTCAAAAACTGAACTAGGTCAAAAATGTTAAAACACATAGCTACTTGATGATAACAAATTCTCACAGATCAGGGGAACAGCAAATTCTGACCCCCACCCTCCCTCACCCCCCATCTTTGAAGAATCTTTAATATTCACAATATCTGAGACAAAAGCATCCATAGGAAGAGGTTTGAGAAAATGAACAGAATGAACTCTTCCTATCCCGAGAGAAAAGACTTTAGCCTCAAGAGGATCTTAATCAAGTTGCCCCTGAAGATACAGTCAGGTTCAAATATTCTTGTTCTGTTCACTGGTTAGAGAGTAGGTGCCATCTCACTTTAAATCCTGAATGCATTGGAAAGCCTCAGACCTTCCTGAGACTTTCTCCCAAGGCATTCAGGATTTAAACGATAGCCAGGACTAGGTTCACATAATATCAGCAAGCAAGCAAAGGATATAGCAAGCTGGCCAAAATTCCTTTTGGAAAACATGTGCCTTGGGAGAGATACATTTTTGGATTCCTATCTTTGTGGGAAAGAATCATTCCTTGGTAGTAGTATCCTCCAAGTCTCATCTTATAAAAGTAAGTTAGTAAGCTTTTGGATCAATCACCCCTCAATAAAGGGAAAAAAGTTAGTGTCAAGCCTCATTAACTGGGGTAGGGAGAATATAATTTGACACAAAGGCTACAAATCAGGAGTCGTGCTGGAACATCCAGATGCATCCAGGAATTCTCAGTGTCCTGGCCTGGATGGTTTAAATATAAATCATCCAGGGTTTCACCCAAGAGTCTGATCTGAGGACCACCACAAATTTTTCTGAACATAGATTTTGTTTTTAATTTTTTTAGTGTGATTTGAGCAAACGTTTACAGAGCAAATTGGTTTTCTGTCCAACAATTCATACGTATTTAGTTTCATGACATTGATTTGCAACCCCGACACAATGTAACGGTATTCTTCCCACTTCTTCCCTGTGTTTATGTTTCTCCTCATCCTTCTTTCCTATCCCTTCCTGCCTTCTGAGCTTTATCTCTGGGCAAATGCTGCTCTTTTGATCTCATATGGTTGATTGTTCTAAGAAACGTGTTATCTCTCTGGTGTTATTTTTTACTTTTTGCCATATATATTGTTTGTCTGAAAGTTGAGCCACAGGGGTGAGTTCAAGCTTGAAGTGTGTCTGAGGGCCATAGTCTTGGGGGTTCTACCAGTCTATATCATTCCAGTAACTGTGGTCATTTTTATTATTTGAGTTTTGTTACATATTTTACTCCCATTTTATCTAGGACTTCCTTCTGTGATCTCTTTCAGAGTGGTCAACAGCAGTAGAGGACACCATCTAGTTTTTCTGGTCTCAGGGTCATAGAGATTGGAATTCATGTGGTCCATTAGTCCTTTGGACTAATTGTTTCCTTGTGTCTTTGATTTTCTTCACTCTTCTTTCCTCTGAATAGGGAGAGATGGCCTTTCACATCTAAGATACCTTAGATGGCCTTTCACAATTTTTAAGACCCCAGTTGCTACTCACCAACATACTCTATAGAACATTGTCTTTGCAGACTATGTTATGCCATTTGACCTTGATGTCCCCCAAGCCTGTGGTCCTGAGCTTCCAGATCCAGCAATGCATTCTCTCAAAGTGTTTGGTTATGGCTAATTAGTTTTCATAACTTTGCCCTCTGTATGTACTACTGTATTCATGGATATATTTGCAGCACGTAAAAATGCATATGCAGAAATAATCCTCTGTCAAACATATATATATATATATATATATTTGTGGGTATGGTCTCACTTGCATTCCCACACCTGTCAGAACATAAATATTTCCTTCTCTGAGCAGCCATAGTATCTAGAATTCTAACTTTGGTTTCTTAAATCAGTCCCACAACCAAAAAGCAGGACTCCTCTATTTCAAGGCAGGAATGGAATAGAAAGAGCCACAGAATGACACTCAAAACCATGCTGAAGATGTCGGGAATGGTATTTCCTAATCTAAGGAATAGACGACTTGGGCCAGACCTGTTGTCAGTCCTCGGATATGTAATTGCTGTCCAGTGGAAGAAAGATCCAATCAATTGTGTATGGCCCAGAAAGCAGAAGAGAAACAATGTGTGGGATTATATAGAACCAAAATCCAGTTTGCACCACATAGGAGCTGCCTGGTTGTGGGCAAGGCACTGGCCTTCTCTGTACTTTGATGTTCTTGTCTGTGTGAAGAATGTTAGAGAATTATAGCTTTTTCAGAAATGAGATGAATTTTTTCCCAAGGCAGTGGGTTTCCCATCACTTAAGACACTTCAGAAAAGTGGAGGATATAAAGAGGTTTTAATAATAAAATTGAAAGCTATTAAAAATAAAAATAAAAAACCAAACCAGTTTCTGTCCAGTTGACCTCAACTCATGGCAACCCCTCGTGCATCAGAGTAGAACTGTGCTCCATGGGGTTTCAATGAGTGATTTTTCAGAAGTCGCTCACCAGAGATTTTTTCTCTGGGTGGATTTAAACTGCCAACTTTTCAGTTTGCCACTCAGCCCTTAAACATTTGTGCCATGCAGGGACTCCAAATTAAATGTTATACGTAATTGTAAATGTTAGGTGAGCCTAGAATTCCTTTAAAGTTTGAAGCAGTATGTTCTCATTAGGACAAGAGGTGCACTGGATTTGGAAAATATTGTACCATTGTTGGGCATCGAAAGGCTGGAGGCCACTGAGTAGGGGAAGAAAAGTGGTTTTAGGAGGGAAGATGGGAAATAGACCCAGTGAAGTCTGATGACCTTATTGTTTTATGAAGACCCAGCACAATTCCATTGTTTGGGAAGAAGCTTGATTAACTGCATCAACAAGACAGTATGAAATTACTTCAGGTAGTTTCTTTACCATGGGTAAACTTCTTGACTATGTCTGCTGCTGTAGAAATTTTAAGTGCTTTATATTGGCTGAAGGAGCTCTGGTGGCTCAGTGTCTAAGGCATCTGACTGCTGACCATGAGATGGGCAGTTCAAGCCCATCAGCTGCTCTGAGGAAGGAACATGAGGCAATCTGCTTCCATAAAGACTGACTGCCTTGGAAACCCAACCGGGGTCACTATGAGTTGGAATTGACTTGACAGCAGTGGATTTGTTATTTTGGTTTATGTTGGCTAAGGAGCTCTGGACATGTAGCAGGATAAGCCATTTGGCTGC